CCGAAGTGCTGGGATTACAGGCATGAGCCACCACACCTGGCTGCTATTTTTTGACTTTTTAATAGTAGCTATTCTGACTGGTGTGAGATGATATCTCATTGTGGTTTTGATTTGCATTTCTCTAATGGTTAGTGATGTTGAGCTTTTTCCCATATGTTTGTTGGCCACATGTGTGTCTTCTTTTGAGAAGTTCCTGTTCATGTCCTTTGCTCACTTTTTAATGGGGCTGTTTTTGTCTTATAAATTTAAGTTCCTTAAAGATGCTGGATATTAGACCTTTGTTGAAAGCATAGTTTGCAAACATTTTCTCCCATTCTGTAGGTTGTGTGTTTACTCTGTTGATAGTTTCTTTTGCTGTGCAGAAGCTCTTTAGTTTAATTAGATACCATTTGCCAATTTTAGCTTTTGTTGCAATTGCTTCTGGCATCTTCATCATGAAATCTTTGCCCATGCCTATGTCCTGAATGGTATTGCCTAAGTTGTCTTACAGGGTTTTTATAGTTTTGAGTTTTACATTTATGTCTTTAATCCATCTTGACTTAATTTTTGTATATGGTGTGAGGAAGGAGTCCAGTTTCAGTCTTCTACATAAGGCTAGCCAGATATCCCAGCCTCATTTATTGAACAGGGAATCCTTTCCCCATTGCTTGTTTTTGTCAGGTTTGTTGAAGATCAGATCATTTTAGGTGTGCAGTCTTATTTCTGGGTTCTCTATTCTGTTCTATTGGTCTATGTGTCTGTTCTTGTACAAGCATGCTGTTTTGGTTACTATAGTACTGTAGGATAGTTTGAAGTCAGGAATGTGATGCCTCCGGCTTTGTTCTTTTTGCTTAGGATTGCCTTGGCTATTCAGACTCTTTTTTGGTTCCACATGACTTTTAAAATAGTCTTTACTTGTTCTGTGAAGAATGTCAATGGTAGTTTAATGGAAATAGTATTGCATATAAAAATTACTTTGTTTAGTATGGCCATTTTGCTGATATTGACTCTTCCTATTCATGAGCATGGAGTGTTTTTCCATTTGTTTGTGTCATCTCTGATTTCTTTGAGCAGAGGTTTATAGTTCTTTATGCAGAGATCTTTCACCTTCCTAGTTAGCCATATTCCTAGGTATTTTAATCTTTTTGTGGCAACTGTGAATGACAGTTCACTCCTGATTTGGCTCTTGGCTTGATTTTTGTTGATGTATAGGAATGCTAGTGATTTTTGTACATTGATTTTGTATTCTGAGGCTTTGTTGAAGTTGTTTAATCAGCTTCAGAAACTTTGGGGCTGAGACAATGAGGTTTTCTAGATATAGGATCATGTCATCTGCAAACAAGGATAGCTTGACTTCCTCTTCCAGTACTACATTGAATAGGAGTGGTGAAAGAGGGCATCCTTATCTTGTGCCTGTTTTCAAGGGGAAATGCTTCCAGCTTTTGCCCATTCAGTATGATGTTGGCTGTGAGTTTCTCATAGATGGCTATTATTATTTTGAGATATGTTCCTTCAACATTTTGTTTACTGAAAGTTTTTAACATGAAGGGATGTTGAATTTTATTAAAATCCTTTTCTGTACCTATTGAGATAATTATGTGATTTTGCCTTTGGTTCTGTTTATGCTATGATTCACATTTATTTTTTTGCATATGTTGAACCAACCTTGCATTCCAGAGATGAAGCTGACTTAATTGTGATGGATAAGCTTTTTGATTGCACCACATTTTCTTTATCCAATCCACCATTGACAGGCACCTAGGCTTATTTCATATCTTTGCTATTGTGAATAATGCCGTAATGAACATTTGAGTGCATGTGTCTTTTTGGTAGAACACTTTATTTTCTTTTGGATATATACCAAGTAATGAGATTGCTGGGTCAAATGGTAGTTCTGTTTTAAGTTCTTTGAAAAATCTCCAAACTGCTTTCCACAGGGGCTGAACTAATGTACATTCCCACCAACAGTGTATAAGTATTCTCTTCTCTCCTCAGCCTCACCAGCATCTGTTGCTTTCTGAGTTTTTAGTAATAGCCATTCTGATGGGTGTGAGGTGGCATCTCATGGTGGTTTTGATTTGCACAAATGCTAGTGTTAAGATTGTCATCTCTGCTAGTTTCCCCACCATCCCTGCTGTTGCATGGCCATATTCTTCATTTCATAGAATATTGAATGTCATTTATATCAGACCTGACCATTCCTTGATTGGCCTCACTGTACAGATCAGGGAAGAGGATCCCATAAAGTTGCCCAGGGCAGGCCTAACCTACAGGCAGGGCTGGGATTAGACCCCAAGGGTGGGGTTTTCCAAACAGTTCTGTGTTCTGTGGTAGCCAGCCATCTGGGTTTGCTGGGGTCTCTCACAGTTTTAACACTGAAAGTCCCTCTTCTCAGAAAACCCCTTAGTCCCCAGCAAATCAGGACAATTAGTCACCTTAAGCCTCTGGTATTTGTGAGCTTTGCTGCTTTGTTAATCAAAAGAGTATATTTGTTGTGCTTTTTACACAGCTTTTTACAGTAGGGAAGAAACTACCAATGCCAACCTTGCATGTCGGCAATTATTTTAAGCCACTGACATCTAAAAATTCATAAAATAAACATTTTCAATTAGCCATGCTGCTTTATTTTTTATACTTTACTTCCGTGTCATATCTCATTAGTTTATTCCAAATCTAATGAGTAATCTGTTGCTGGCTGTTCAGAAGAAGGAAATGCACTTTGAAGTTGACTGAGAGTGATTTCAACACTGTTAATAAAGAAATTCCACAAAGTTCTAACTAACTTTTGGGAGTAGCTTACAATCCATCAGACTTAATCCTCTATGTTTGAAAATGTTTGGCCCTCTGGAAAACATTATGAGGAGCTTTTGTTGTAGAGCGCACTGATGGAGTGGAAGTGCTATGCAAACTAAAACATCAAACGATGCATTAATCCTAACATCTTACTACAGTGCCTGTTTTTTTTGGAAGAAAGCAGATAAATCTAAGACTTCACTTGGCCTGAAATATGCAGGTACTCAAGAAAAGTGATTATTGTTCCCCTTGTTTCAATCTATAATGAATGTTTATTGCATGCTTAATAGAGACTTGTCCCAGGTGTTGGCCATTGAAGTAAATTATATTGAAACAGACAGAGAATGGCTACTATCCTCATGGAGCTCAGTCTAGTGGAAAAGAGAAAATTATATAATTACACAAATAGGGATGGCATTATAATTGTGATAAGTGCTTTAAAGCAGCGTGCTGGGTGCCCTGGGACTC